CTAACCAGACCTCAAAATCAATGGCGCGACCCTCAGCGTCAAAAGCTAGGACACTAGGGGTAGCCATGGCGACGACAGCGACGCAGTGCAAGCAGTAGGGGAAGAGCTCGCAGTGACAGTGGGACTGCGCTCACCAGGCAGGGCAGGTCGTGCAGCTCAGCAGAAAGGCGGCTCGGCGATCGGGCGGCTCGGGTGCACAGCGGCTCGGCTCCCGGGCGGCTCGGCGGCAGGGCGGCTCGGGGGCAGGGCGGCTCGGCTCCCGGGCGGCTCGGCGACAGGGCGGTTCGAGCGTAGGGCGGCTCGGCTCTCGGGCGGCTCGGCTGCACGGCTGCCCGACTGCTGCAGGTGGGGCGGCAGGGCCGCGTGAAAGAACCGGGGCGGGGCCGCGTCAGAGCCGGCAGCAGGGGCCGCGTGAGAGCCGTGGCGGGGCCGCTTCAGAGCTGGCGGCAGGGCCGCAAGAGAGCCGAGGCAGGGGCCGCGTTAGGGCCGGCGGCAGGGGCCGTAAGAGAGCCGGGGCGGGGCCGCAAGAGAGCCGGGGCGTGGCCGCGTCAGGGCCGGCGGCGAGGCCGCGAGAGAGCCGGGGCGGGGCCGCGATCAGGAGGCGGCGGCGGGGCCGCGTCAGAGCCGGCGGCGAGGCCTCGTCGAGGCGGGCGGCGGGGCCGCGTTGGAGCCGGCGGCGAGGCCGGCTAAGAGCCGGCGGTGGGGCCGCGTCAGAGCCGATGGCGGGGACGCGTCAGGGCCGGCGGCGGGCCGCGATCAGCGGGCGGCAGGGCCGCGTCAGAGCCGGCGGCGGGGCCGCGATTAGCGGGTGGCGGGGCCGCGTCAGAGGAGGCGGCGGGGCCGCTGCAGAGGAGGCGGCGGGGCCGCGTCAAGCAGGGGTGGCGGGGCCGCGTCAGAGGGACAGCGGGGCCGCGAGAGCAATGGCGACCCGAAGGGTCGCGAGAAAAAAATGCGCGCCTCAGGGCGCGCTTCGGTGGGCCCTAAAAAAAAAACGGTCCTTAAGAAGGACTCGCTCTGATACCATGTGAGACAAGAGAACAGGAATGAATGAACTAGCAGTGAAAATGAGTACAAGTAGGAAACCCTAGAATTGTGTACCCCCTATAGGCTAACCCACTGTAGCCTACACAAGCATAACATGTATAATGTTTGACACACGATTCCGGGAGTAGCGCCTGCAACTTGGTTTTCTTCTGGAGCTTCATCTTCTTCAATTCGTAGTGTCGCCATTTGCCATTCCAACACCACAGCTACCGCCGCTGTTGCAGGAGTGTGTACACCTTTGAGAGCAGCCCATGCCTTTGGTCCCTTCTCCGGTTCACGCTGGAAAGACTTGATGTGACGGAATTGGCTGCTCCCCAACGCTTGCACAAGTAGGAGATAGCCTTGTGCGCTCTTCCGCACCCACGGGTTCTTCTCCGAGTCGTTCTCGGGACGCTTCTCCGTTCCTTCCATCACCTCCAGCAGGTCATAGTGGTCAAACACGTTCTCCATTCTAAAAGACCACTCAGCAAAGTTGTCACCGTTGAACTTGTCAAGCCCAAACACTCTAGGCTCATCCCTAGATGGGCCAAGACTTGGTTGCACGAGCGCCACAGCTGAATCACGGGCTTGGCGTTGTGCTTGGGCTTCTCCACTGCCACCAGCACCTCTGCCACCCCTTTCCTCAGACCCAGCCATTGTCGAAACTGCTCCAAGGGGCTCTGATACCACTTGTTATAGTCATAGTAGGCTTCAATGTGCCTAAAACGAAAGATAGAGTGCAGAGTCGGATTTCTGCACAGCGGCTTTAAACGTTCATAGCGTTTTGGTCACAACTTCAAACGACCTGATTCAAATTGGATCTGGAGCGTCTTTACGTATTGACGACACAACGTTGGTTTTGAACGAACGGCACTATGGCAACCACTTTGGTCTTAGAAGAGTTATGAAGAGTTACAAGTTGGGAATGACTCCCAGGTCCTACAAACCCCAAGAGCCGAGGTACAGTGATGTGGAACAGTGCCACACTGTCCCCAACCACGAAGGGTCTCAAAACTACCCTTCACTAGGGCCTACACCAAGTGAAATGTTACACTACACAAAGAAATGTAACTATCTTCAATATCTTGAGGTGTACCCTTTTTCGCGGGCTTCGCGATCACTTGAGCCTTGACACCAAGGCTCTGGTTCTTCACCACAAACTCATCCTTGAGTTCTTGATGGGTCTTCTGCACACACCTGGGACACGCCGAACGTTCCACACATACGACAAAATAGAAACCGTGCACGAGACACACGACAAAATAAAGACCGCGCACGTGACACAAACGACCGCGTGACACGCGAATAGCGATAACTCGCTATTGTCTCGACACACATACTCGACATCATGACTCAACATTCACACACTATTATAAGTATGAAATATATATTATCCCATGCCCTCATACCATTCCATGCACACACGCATGCACGCACACGGACAACAAGCCGAGTGCAAACCGTAGGGTTGCACCAACAGCTCAGCCATGTCGGAAGACTATGTGCGAAAGGCATCGGTAAGACGAGAGAAGCAGCGGTACTGGGTGTGGAGCCTCCCGCATGTCAAACTAGTGCAGTCACCTATGCGAATGACATACGGGCAGGGACCACTACCCCTAGCTGCCCCACGCTGAGCAAACCACTCACGGAGGTCCTGGAGCGAAAGCTGATGCTGCTGCTGCTGCCTCTGACCACTGCCAAGGCCTCCCCTCTGACTGGTACCACCCTGGCCGCCACTACTACCGCCGCCTCCACTCCCACTGCCGCCACCACTACCGCCGCCACTGCCGCCACCACCGCCGCTACCTACACCTCCACCCCCACCACCACTTCCCCCACCACCGCCGCCCCCTCCACCGCCTCCACCGCCTTGAACCCATAGGGAAAGGGAGTAGCCACATGGCCTTCACTTAGCCCAAAGTTGGCAGCCAAGGCCTCCAGGTACTTCCGTTGGTGCACCCGCATGCACCGCTTCTCCACGTCACGCTCGATGTGGAGCCCAAGGTAGAAGTTCACGTCCCCAAGGGACTTGCACTTGAACTTGTCTTGAAGCTTCAGCATCACCTCCTTCACAAGGTCAGATGAGGGTGAGAAGATCAGGATGCCGTCCACGTACACCACCATGAAGCTCCTCTGCTCCCCCTCGCCAAGCATGAACAAGGAGTGATCCGCCATTGAGGGAGTGATGCCGATCTCCTCCAACACTTTGCGCAGCTTCATGTACCATTGCCTAGGGAACTGCTTCAGCCCATAGAGGGCCTTCTTCAGCTTCCACACTTTGCCGCTACCACCATCAAACCCCTTTGGCTGCACCATGAAGATCTCTTCCTCTAGACACCGTTGAGGAATGCCGTTACAATGTCCATCTGCTTCACCACCCATCCTTTGATGGCGGCTCCCGCAAGTAGGGTCCGTAGCATCGTTGGCTTCACCACAGGAGCAAACAGCTCCTTGAACTCCACCTTCTCCTTCTGCTGGTACCCCTTGGCTACAAGCCTAGACTTGTAGCGCTCGATCTTGCCGTCGGCGTCCGACTTGATCTTGAAGAGCCACTTGGACGTTATCGCCTTACGTCCCTCTGGTAGCTCCACCAATTCAAACGTGTCATTCTCCTCAATGCTTTTCAGCTCACTCCTTATTGCCTTCTTCCACTCCTCAGTATCACTACTCTCCAAGGCCTCCTTAAGAGTTGCTGGTTCTCTCAGCATCTCCACCGGAGAGAAGAGCGCGAAGACACACTCCTCGTACTCGCTTTCCTCATCGTCTCCGACCATCATTGCCGCTCCGACTAGGGTTGACTTGCTCGGCTTTCCCGGCGCATCATATGTTAGCCTATTAGAGGATTGAACTCTCCTCTTTCCCCTTCCTTCCTCCTCCAGCTGCAGGGACTTGAAGGCCTCACCGTTGCTGCGGTGTAGCACGGATCCGTGGAGCGCTCGTAGTGCGGAAAGGAAGTGTCGGTGCATGGTCGCTCACTTGCTGCACCTCCTCCTCTTCTTCCTCTGCATCATTGGCTTCCTCTCCCCCATTCACAAGGGAGGATTGCCTTGTGGTGGTGCTGCCGCTGCTCAGCTCCAAAGGCAGCTCCACATGCTCCAAGCCGGAACTCTTCACCTTCCCAAACCGCACGTCTATCTTCGCCTCATTCTCCGCCTTCCAATCCTTGTACATGAAGTTCTCCATGAACTTGCAGTCCCTGCTCACCAAGAATTTCTTAGAGGCCCCTCTCACGGCCCCTCGCGCCATCCTTAGCGGCCCCGTCGCTGCCCCTAGCGGCCCCGTCGCCGCCCTTCCAGGCCTCTCGCGGCCCCTAGCGGCCCTGTTGCCGCCCCTACGCGGCCCCGTCGCCGCCCCTAGCGGTCGCGTCGCTGCCTCTCTCCCTACGCGGCCCCGTTGCCGCCCCTACGCGGCCCCATCGCCGCCCCTAGCGGCCCAGTCGCCGCCCCTAGCAGCCCAGTCGCCGCCCCTACGCGGCCTCGTCGCCGCCCCTAGCAGCCCCGTCGCCGCCTCCCTCCCTACGCGGCCCCGTTGCCGCCCCTACGCGGCACCGTCGCCGCCCCTAGTGGCCCGGTCGCCGCTCCCCTCCCTACGCGGCCCCATCGCCGCCCCTAGCGGCCCCGTCGCCGCCCCTAGCGACCCTTTCGACGCCCCTACGCGGCCCCGTCGCCGCCCCTAGCGGCCCTGTCGCCGCTCCCCTCCCTACGCAGCCCCGTCGCCGCCCCTACGCGGCCCCGTCATCGCCCCTAGCGGCCCCGTCGTCACCCCTACGTGGCCCCGTCGCAGCCCCTAGCGACCCTGTCGCCGCCTCCCTCTCTACGCGGCCCCGTCGCCACCCCTACGCGGCCTCGTCGTCGCCCCTACGCGGCCCCGTCGCCGCCCCTAGCGGCCCCGTCACCGCTCCCCTCCCTACGCAGCCCTGTCGCCGCTCCCCTCCCTACGCGGCCCCATCACCGCCCCTAGCGGCCCCGACGCTGCCCCTACCCGGCCCCGTAGCCGCCCCTAGCGAGCAGCAAAGCCGCCGAGCCGCCCAGCAACCGAGGAGCCGAGTCGCCCAGCAGCCGAGCCGCCCCTGGAGCAGCCGTCACTGCAGCAGCCGCCCCTGGAGCAGCCGCCAGTGCAGCAGCCGCCACTACAGCAGCCGCCCCTGCAGCAGCCGCCCCTGGAGCAGCTGCCCTTGGAGCAGCCGCCACTGCAGCAGCAGCCCCTGGAGCAGCCGCCACTACAGTAGCCGCCCCTGGAGCAGCTGCCACTACAGCAGCCGCCCCTGCAGCAGCCGCCCCTGGAGCAACCGCCCCTGCAGTAGCTGCCCCTGGAGCAGCCGCCACTGCAGCAGCCGCCCCTGGAGCAGCCGCCACTGCAGGAGCCGCCCCTACTGGTAGCGGCCTCGCCGTTGCCGCCGTTGTATGCCTGCCCTTCTCGCCACTGGTGAGCACGGCTGTGCCTGTACTACTGTTACTGCTGCTCTTTCTACCGCTAGTGCTGCTCCTGGCGTGGCCAGATGCAGCTCCAGCGTCGCCCACGTGAGGCCCTCACCCCCCAACGGCTTCGTGAGTGGTACGCTAGTTGGGGCTATCGAGGTGGCCGTTGTGGGATTCGTTCTAGAGTGAGTAGTTCCATAGCTGCTCGTAGTGGCCAGGTGCAGCTGCAGCATCGCCCGCGTGAGTCCCTCACCCCCCAACAGCTTCGTGAGTGGTACGCTTGTTGGGGTTGTCGGGGTGGCCGTAGTGGGAGTCGTCATAGAGTTAGTAGTTCGGCATCTGCTTGTAGTGGCCAGGTGCAGCTTCAGCGTCGTTCGCGAGCGGTCCTTTCGGCCCAGCAGCTTCGTGAGTGGTACGTTCATTGTACGGGTCACGGGGTACTGCTCGCTGACCGTACGTCATTCGCACTGGTGCTCGCACTGGTCAGCCTTGCGGGACGTTGGGTCACGCAGAGTCCCGCTGCTTCGCCCGTCTGAGCGACACCTAGCGTACAGAGTTTGGCGACGCGGCTGAGCTCCCCGACTGGGTGGAGCTGCTTCGGCTGCAGGTAGATATATATGCTTTTGAGAATGATGCTATCCTTACTTCTATGTATGCATTGCCTACTAGTGATGAGGGTGACTGTTACATATGTGTTCCGCCTGACCCGGACATTGAGGCTGCTACTCTAGGTGCTAGTGAGGCTGCTGCTCTAGGTGCTAGTGCGTCTGCTTCCCTAGGTGCCAGTGCATCTGCTGCCCCAAGTGCCAGTGCGTCTGCTACCCGAGGTGCTGGTGAGTCTGCTGTCTCAGGTACTACGTCGGCACAAGCCTTCCACACTTACGCCTTTCACTCTAGACTCGGGTGCTTCCCGCTCCTTCTTTCAAGACCGCAGCGCACTTACGCCACTCAGTCAGCCAGTTGCAGTCCTTGGCAGACCCCTCTGGGAGTCCTGTCCTTGCTCGCTTCTCCACTGTCTTACCGTGTCCGGCAGCCCCCTCTGGCACCCTGTCAGGTCTCTACCTCCTCTCGTTCTCTACGAACGTGGTGAGTGGTGCTGATCTACAGGATGGGGGAGTTGACCAGTTCACTCCTGCGAGTCAGCGGGTGACCCACTGTACGTGTGCGCGGACGGGCCGACACTTGGCCACGTTTACCCGCCGGCCCGGGTCGGGTCTGTACACACTGACTACTGAGTCTCCTCCGGTTGCTGAGTCTGGTCAGGTAGCTGCGTCGGGTCTGGTGTTTGCTGCAGTGTCCAAGTCTGGTCCTGAGTCTGCTCCCTGCTCGTGTCGTCTCCTGTCTTACCAGACTCTTCTCTGACACAACTGCCTTGGTCACCCCTCCATGCCTCGTCTCCAAGGCATGGCCTCCCGTGTCCTTGTCTCTGGTCTCCCCCGGTCTCTCCCTCCCCTACCTCTCGGGCCTGCCCCTACCTGCGTCCCCTGCGTCGAGGGGTGACAGCGCGCTGCCCCTCACTCCTCCGAGTTTCCTCTGACAGAGGCTCCGCTGCAGACTCTTCACATGGACGTGTGGGGCCCCGCCCGCGTCCGTGGCCAGGGTCACGAGCGTTACTTCCTGTTGGTGGTTGACGACTACTCGCATTACACCACGGTGTTCCCATTGCGCAGCAAGGGTGACATCACTGAGGTGTTGATCGACTGGATATGCGCAGCTCGTCTCCAGCTCAAAGAGAGTTTCGGCTCGGACTTTCCTGTTCTGCGTCTGCACTCGGACAAAGGCGGGGGGTTTTCTTCTGCCCATCTGGGAGCCTTGTGTCGTGCACAGGGCATCCGCCAGACCTTCACACTTCCGGCCTCTGCACAGCAAAATGGGATTGTTGAGCGCCGCATTAGCATGGTCATGGACGTCGCTCGTACGTCCATGATCCATGCAGCTGGCCCCCATTTTCTGTGGCCGTTTGTGGTTCATTACGCAGTGCATCAGCTCAACCTTCAGCCCCGGGTCTCCTTGCCAGAGACCTCCCCCACCCTGCGGTGGACGGGGAAGGTTGGCGATGCGTCTGCGTTTCGGGTCTGGGGATCTCGGGCGTTTGTCCGCGACTTGTCTGCGGACAAGCTGTCCCCCCGTGCTGTTCCCTGCGTCTTCCTTGGCTTCCCCCCTGATGCGCCTGGTTGGCAGTTTTACCACCCCACCTCGCGCCGTGTTGTGTCCTCCCAGGACGTCACCTTTGACGAGTCGGTGCCGTACTACCGTCTCTTCCCCTACCGCGCTATGCCCCTTCCCCCACCGCCGCTCTTCCTTGCTCCAGGTCCTCCCCCGGAAGACCCCCTCCCCCCTCAGGGTCCTGCCCCGTCAGGTGTGTCCCAGGTAGACGCAGTCGAGCCTGTCGAGGTAGCTGTTGACTCTGGTGCTGCTAGAGGTGTTGAGCCTGCGGGTGCCGAGTCTGGAGGTACTGGACCTGGGGGTGCAGAGCCTGGGGGTGCTGAGTCCAGGGGTGCAGAGCCTGGGGTTGCTGAGCCTGGGGGTGCTGAGTCTGGGGGTGCTGAGCTTGGGGGTGCTGAGTCTTGGGGTGATGAGCCTGGGGGTGCGGAGCCTGGAGGTGCTGGGTCTGCTCGTGTGGCCTCTCGCGGTGCTTCGTCGAGGTGGGAGCCTCTCTCTCCGCAAGAGCTGCCCGAGTGGTTTGCCCGCCGTTGGAGCCGTGCTGCTGGAGCTGGAGGTACTACTTTTGCTGCTGGTCCTGGAGGTGCTTGTACTGGCGGTACTGGAGCTGCTTGGACTGGGGGTGCTGCTGGGGCTGCTGGAGTTAGTCCTGCTTGAGGTACTGCTGGAGCTGCTGGCAGTCTTGAAGCTGACGGTCCTGCTTGAGTTGGTGCTACTGGAGCTGGAGCTGCTGGAGCTGGAGCTGCTGGGGGTGTTGGCGCTCGTGGTGCTACTGACGCTGTTCGAGCTGTAGGTGTTGCTGGCGCTGATGCTGCCGCTGGAGAGACTGGTGCTATCCCTGCTGGTTCTAGAGGCACTACGCGGCCGAGGCCGTACTTTGTTCCCCTCCTTGAGCGGGTTCTTGGTCTCCCGCCCTCTACTGGTTCTGCTCCTCCCATAGAGTGTCCACAGCCTGTCCAGTCGCGGTCACAGTTACAGCCCGCCTCCCGCGTGCCTGCTCCTTCTCCCTACACTGGTCCTACTGGAGGTCTTGCTCAGCGTTGTGAGCCTGTGTCTCGTCCTGCGTCGCCTGTTCGTGCTGCTCGCACCAGTCGTTGTGCTCCGCGTCCGCGTCCTCCTGCGGTCCTAGGCACGCACCAGATGGCATTGCGTCCTTCCACTGCTCCTCTGCGTGTCCCGCTGCCGTCTCCTCCAGAGTCCTCTCTTCCTGTCCTTGCTGACCTGGAGTCTGACTCTCTTCGTGCTGCTAGTCGTACTGTCACGCGTCTACAAGCTACTATTGTCATTGACCCTTCCTTTGAGTCCACTGCTGCGTCTGCCCTAGTTGCTGAGCTTGTCGACTTTGCTGCTGGCTGTCGCATAGACTACGCTGCTAGTCTTGTTGCAGAGTCTGAGTCTGTCTGTCCTCACTCCGTCGGGGGTGAGTGTGCTCGTAACACAGAGGTATTTGAGGACAGGCAGGAGGAGTTCCATTGTTTTGCTGCTGCTTTGCCTCATCTCGTGTCCACGCTGATTGCCCTTGAGGGAGACCTGGATGCACCAGACATCCCGACTCCTCGATCGTACGCTGAGGCAATCGAGGGTCCCTACTCCTCATAGTGGCAGTCAGCCATGGACGCCGAGATGGCTTCCTAGAAGTCCACAGGCACCTACGTCGACGAGGTTCCCCCACCTGGGGTGAACATCGTCGGTGGCATGTGGATTTTCAGGGTGAAGCGGCCGCCGGGTTCTCTGCCTGTCTTCAAGGCGCGTTACATGGCTCGAGGCTTCAGTCAGCGGCAGAGAGTTGACTACTTTTAGACCTTCTCTCCCACCCCGAAGATGACCACTCTTCGGGTGCTGCTGCACATAGCCGCTCAGCGCGACTACGAGCTTCACTCTCTTGACTTCAGCACAGCTTTCCTGCAGGGCAGCCTGCATGAGGAGATCTGGCTGCGCCGCCCACCTGGCTTCACTGGGTCGTTTCCTCTTGGTACCCAGTGGAGCCTCCGGCGGCAAGTCTACGGTCTTCGCCAGGCGCCCCGTGAGTGGCACAACACACTGAGGACTACACTTGCGGCTCTTGGGCTTGCTCCTTCTACTGCCGACCCGTCGCTGTTTCTGCACACCGACACCTCTTTGCCGCCGTCCTACATCCTCGTGTGCGTTGACGACTTGGTCTTTGCCACTGCTGACACTGCTGGACTAGCCCACGTGAAGTCGGAGCTGCAGAAGAGACACACGTGCACAGACCTGGGTGAACTGCGCAGCTACCTTGGCTTGCAGATCACTCGGGACAGAGCACAGCGCACCATTATCCTGAATCAGTCACACATGGTGCAGCAGGTCCTTCAGCGCTTCGACTTCACGTACTCCTCGCCTCAGGCCACTCCTCTGTCTACTTGCCACTCGCTCTCAGCTGTGCCTTCGGATGAGTCCGTAGAGCCGAGTGGCCTGTACCCAAAGCTTGTTGGCTGCCTCATGTACCTGATGACCTGCACACGACCTGACCTTGCATACCCTCTTAGCATCTTGGCTTGATATGTTGCTCCTGGGAGACACCGACCAGAGCACATGGCTGCAGCGAAGAGGGTGTTGCGCTACTTGTGCAGTATGTCGAGCATGGGGCTGGTGCTTGGAGGGCGACGTCGAGTGGTCCTCACAGGTCACGCAGACGCTTCTTGGGCTGACGACTAGGCTACGTAGCGGTCGTCACAGGGTTACACCTTCAGCCTTGGCTCCGGCTCTGTTTCATGGCGGTCCACACGCTCCTCTTCTGTTCTCACCTCCAGCTGTGAGGCTGAGATCTACGCGGGGGCCATGGCTGCACAGGAGCTTCGCTGGCTCACCTACCTGGTGACTGACCTAGGAGAGCCGCCTTGTTCTCCTCCAGTTCTGTACGTAGACAACAAGGCCATGCTGGCCTTGTGTCGGGAGCACAGACTAGAGCACAGAACGAAGCACATTGCTCTCCGCTACTTCCTGGCTCGTGAGCTGCAGCAGCGTGGTCAGTTGCGCCTTGCTTACGTTGCCTCTGAGGCCAACATTGCTGATATCTTTTCCACGGCACTCCGCTTGGTGATCATCAGCGCTTCTGTACGATGCTAGGTCTTGTGCCTACTTGGCTTCACTTGCTCACTTCTTGACCTTGCTTGTACTGTGATCTTTCTATACCTGCACTTGCTTGTTTACCTTCATATATAAACTTGCATGTGAACTGGCCTTCTGGCCTTGCTCTTGTGCTCGGATTGTGTGATGACGTTGTGATACCCCCTGAACTTTGATACCGTTCTGGTCACAACTTCAAATGACCTGATTCAAATTGGATCTAGAGCGTCTTAATGTCGCCTACACTAAGCAATTTAGATTGCACGCTTTGACCAAGTATTGACGACATAGCGTTGGTTTGAACGAACGGCACTATGGCAGCCACTATAGTCTTAGAACACAAGATGGGAAGAGTTAGGAAGAGTTATGGGTTGGGAATGACTCCCAGCTCCAACAAACCCCAAGAGCCAAGGTACAGTGATGTGGAATAGTGCCACACTATCCTCAACTTAGAAGGGTCTCGA